CGTCAGTTGCTCTTCCTGCGGCGGGCGCCCTTGGCGCAGCCGCGGCCCAGCCAGCCGGCCCCGGGCCGCGCGGCCGCCGCCGCCTCCCGCGGCGCCGCCGCCGCCTCCGCGCCGCGCGGCGGGGACACCGGCTTCCGCGAGTGGCTGCCTTCCTCGCCGGGGCGCAGCGGCTCGGCCAGCGCAAAGATGGGGTCCCGGGCCCTGCCGGAGACGGGCGGTGAGCAGGGTGGGCAGGCCCGGCTGGTCACCTGGCGCTGCCAGCCACCGCCCATGCTCACCGCTCGTAGCTCGGGATCTCCAGCCCGAGCTCCTCCATGAGCAGCCTCATGACGTCGTCACACCTGCCATGCAGCTTCAGGACGGCCAGGTCGTCCTTGGGGGTCCACTGGAGGGGGGCAGGAGACGCCGTTACCGCGGGGTAACGTTACTCTGCCTCCCTCGCCGCCGGCCTGGGCTCCAGGGGCAGCACTCGCCGGGCAGGCCGCCCACAGCGCGCTCACCAAGGCCACCTTCACCCACACCTTCACAGCCAGTTCCCAGAAGGCGCTCACCTGGAGGTTCACGATATATAACTTTGGACGACGAGTTGGTGGCTTGCTCATGCACCAAAGACGTGGGTATTTTTTCAAAACCTGCCACAAAGTAGAGATTATCAGTATAGCCAAGGGCAGGTGCAACTATGAACCGTTATGAGCGAGAGGAAAAGGAATGTATTACCAGGAGGGGAAAGAGGGAGGAAGAGAGACTATCACAGTTGGTGGGCGCATCCTGACACCAGAGTTTATAGATGTCTGTTTGGGAGGAGACTGCTCAGCACCAAGGTGTCTCACCAAGAGGGAAGGCTGCTAACAATCTTCACCGAGTCTCTAAAGTTACCTTTAAGCTGGAACCCAGACAAAGAATCACATCTGCTTTGCTTGCAGCTTCTGTTGCTGCTTCCCAGTTCAGGGGCTGTCTCAACGTCCCCTTCTCCCCAAAGTGGACGATTGTGTCTCTCAACTGTGCCCCACATTTGTGGCACATCCTGCCAGTGTGATGCCTGTGCAGGGCTGTGCGTTCTGTCACATCAAATACTCGCACATACTCTCTGTTGGGTGTACAGGAAGTGCAGACCTGATATAGGGGAAAAAAGGAAAAAAAAAAAGTGACTTCCTTGACATCTGACCAGTTGGAGGTCAAGAGCAAGTTAACTCCTCTCAGAGGAAAAACATTTTTTTAAAGACAATAAATGGAAAACGGTAGAAAAGATCATCATGGATCAGATGGTAACCAGGAAAATGTTTTAAAAGGCTCAACCAGCAAATGAAATTACAGGAAGCAGGCTGTCTATGCCATAGCATGGATTTCAGGAAAGGTCTGAACAAGAGTTCTCAGAAGCAGAAGGCTTTAGCAAATAAAGAAAAAAAGCTACTGAACTGTACAAAATGCTGTTTGAGAGCCTGCTAATTCACATTTGGAATAAAAAAAAGAATCTGAAGAAGGGAACTAAGTAGAGACTAGTGATTCTGTCAATTCTGCTTGAGCTAAGGAGAGATAAATAGTTCACATTACCGTCCTTTGAGGCCCCAGAACAGCAAGTTTATCCTGTTCTGGATGCTCACCTCTATGTACATGTTTCCATGGAGCTCAGATATTGCTGTTCGGGGTAACCCGCTCCGCAAGTGCAGCCCATCACAGTTTTGGGACACCACGTGCTGCACCTTGAAGAGAATAAAAGACTGAGCTACCACAGAGCAGACAGCTTGGAAAGTACTGCTCAGATGAGGGCAATGGGCACACCTCAATAGACAGCACTCTAAATCTCTCTTCTGTACTAAGTAAAAAGACTTCTGCTGCTGAATACAGCTCTAGCCTGGAGCTCATCTATTAAGTTGTACGGTGGGTCCTCAGTGGGTGGGCAGCCAGCTGAGTAACAGCAATAATTAGGTAATCTCACAGAAAGCTCCCCCCCTCCCCCCCAACCCCTTCCCTGTGTTTAGTTGCACATTATTCAGACTAGGGCAGCAGAGCACAAGTGAGATGCAGAAAAATCTTACCAGATTGTGCTTGTGCAGGCAGGCAATGCTCATGTGAGTGAGCGTGGGCTCTGCCTCACTCAGATCTGTGGTCCTGACAAAAACAGGGGAACAAAATTAGACTATGAGTTGTCTTTAATCTCTCTTTTAGTTTTAGCCTTCTGCTTGACAGCTCAAAACTGGCTTCCTGAGGCTGCAGAACTGCCACTCCAGGAAAGGAAAGGAGTTTGGTGTAGTCACCTCCGTACCTGATGCTCCTGCCCTTCTGCAGTAATGTCCATATGCCATTAGGGCCTCTGTAGTCTGGGATTGAAGCTGCCTGTGTTATTGGGAGAGAGGAAGAGAGACCTCAAGCGAAGGTTCACACCTCTTGTCCAGCCTCAGGCTTATAAACGCATCAAACTTGTCTCCCTCAGTAACTAGTGCTTTTTTACTCACTTCAAGTTTTCTAGAGCAATGGTTCCGCAGAATAACCATCTGTTCTGATATTTCACCTCTTTTCCTACCTTACAGCCCTAGCATTCTCATCTTGGGTATTTATTTTCCTCCAACTTTATCATTATAAAATCCTCCCAGATTTAACTCCCTTTTCCTCAACACTTTTCATTTCCCCATAAAAAAACTTCCCTATAAAAAAACCTCACACTCCCTGCCCAGAATTGTGTCCAAATCAGCAGAGACTTAGGAAAAAATGATGATCCTGTCACAGAGTTCGGATACAGATGACACACAACACTTTAGAAGAGGCTGCCACAGATGCCATACAAAACAGCCATTTTTAACCATCATTTATGATTTAAGTAAACACTAGCTATTTGTTTGTCCATTAGCATAGCATTAACTAGCTAATTTGCTTAGGCTTCACCACAAAATTAGCTGAAAAAAAAGATTTGAAATAGGATTATCAGTCCTCATGTTTAGGGGCATTCTTGCCAGCGTCACAGAGCTTAGGCAGCCTCAAACTCTTCTTGGCAGCACATACAAGCCCAAACTAGCAAACGTCCTGACCACGGCCTGACACCACGGCCTGACATCAGCACCCAGCTCTGCACGCGCGCCCAGCAGGTGCTCGGAGCCCGGGGAAAGCCCCACTCCGGACGGCAGTGGCCCCGGAGCGGCTGCCCGAGCTGCGCCCCAGCCGCCAGGCTCCCACATACCGTGCTGATGCCCGCGCCCGTGTAGATGACGAGGTGCCTGGCGCTGCGCACGGCGGCCGCCAGCTCCACGGCCTTTCTCTTCAGCTCCTCCGGCTCGTCGCACACCTGGGGAGCGGAACCAGGCGAGCTCAGCAATCACCCCGGCGTGGAGCCCTCCCGCGGGCTGGGGCCCCGGCCTGCAGCCACGCTGCTCACGCGAGCCGCCTCGGGCGACGCTGAAACGGGGCGAGGCGGTTTCAGCGCGCGGGCGGCCAAGGGCCGGGCTCGGGCTCGGGGCGGCCGCCGCCCGCACCCACCTCCTCCAGGCGGCGGCGCAGGCGCTCCCGCCGCTTGCGGCGCCGCTCCAGCTCGCGGACGACGTCGTCGCTCTCGCGCAGCGCCTGGCTCTCCTCGGGGCTGCGCTCGGCCGGCGCCTTCCGCCAGATGCGGGACACCTGCGCGAGA